AGTAGCATTTCCAGATAAATAAATTTAAAAGAATAAAAGGGGAGAGCATAATTTAAAAATAAATTATAGCAGGGCTGGGGGTGTGATTCAGTGGCACAGTGCTTACCTAGCATATGCGAGGCCCTGGCTTCAATCCCCAGCTCCACTAATAATAACAAATGTAATAGTAATAACAACAAATAAAACAACAGTAGAGAGTATCACATCAATTACAACATAACAGAAAAAAAGCTTTTGCATGCATGTATTTGTGTGAGATATAAATGTTTTAGGCTGTGGTCAAACTTTGAAAGCCACTACCCTAGAACGTGACTAATCTGTCCACCCTGACAAAGCCTTCATGTACAGGGCTGCTGCCTCCCTGCAGGTTTTTATCGAAGTAGTGCCAAGATCGCCTGAGGCCCCTCCCCATGAAACCCTCAGCATCACCAGTGATGTTGTGATCCCGCAAACTCTGCCCCTACCCCACCTGTGTGACACGTAGGTGGAAGCAGGAACACAGACTGGTGCCGCCAGTCCATCCCAGGCGTTTCCATAAGCCCAGGCGAGCTTTTGTGCCTGACAAAGCCTCTAAATTGGAGATACGTCATCATCCGGTGTAAAAGGTGACAAAGTCCAAAGGTATGCCTTGTAACGAAACAAGAAACTCTATAATCTGCCCCACAAACAACAGATCAGTGGAGCTGGAGAGAATACCATTTGCTCTAGAAGCAGAAGGCAGTTTGACAGTTGGAGAAGAGTGGTTCCTCTTTGTGAAAGCCCTGGGTTATGAGTTGGGGATCCAAAGATGAGGGAGACTGGAGTCAGAGTCCAGTGGGTAATTCAGGCACAGAACGAAAAAGATGCACAACTAAAAAGAAGGTGCAGTGGAACCTTGACTGCCTTGTTAACTAGTCCAATTTCAGGAAAATATGGAGAAAGAACTTTGATAGTGTGGTAAAAAGCTAGACTGGTTGGAATTTGAATCCCAGGGCTGGTGTTTACCTCGATATATTAACTCATGAATAATATTTTAGTGTGTGTGTGTGTGTGTGTGTGTACATATTCATATCTGTGTGTGTGTGTTTGTGTGTGTGTGTGTGTATCTCAGAGAGAATCTCAGAGGGAACTAAGTAAAATTTAGACCCTTACTGGAATGACTTCCTATTTTAAAGAAATATATATCAACTCGTAATATAAAATGGATGTTTTATTTTAGAGCTAAGTTGGCAAAACTAGTTTCCCAAATAATTCTTCAACTGTCAGTTTGCTTTCTGGCTATCATAGCAGCTTTGGGAAGGTATCTACAAAAAGATGAAAGGTCCAGTTTCCTTTAGACCACTGAATGCCTCCAAGTTCCTGCTCCTGTGGTCAGCGTTGCGCGTAGCAAACCACACTGAGCTTGGCAGCACTTGAGGGAGAGGACGCTCGCTGCATCGTCCGTAACTGAGTGGTCCTGGCCTCGCCTGCTCCGCAAAGAGATGGCCCCTTCCCCTCTCTCTCACCATGCACTAAACTAAAATCCAAGTGGATTAAACATCTAAATATTAAAACAGAAACACTAACCTTGGCGGAGGATAAGTTAGGCAGGACTTCGAACACACTGGCATAGGAAAAGACCTTATGAACAAAACCTCAGTAGCATGGGAACTCGCACAAAGAATCAACAACTGGGATCTTGTCTTATTAAAAAAGCTTCTGCACTGCAAGAGGGACCACCAGCAGAGCTAAGAGACAACCTACGATGTGGGGGAAAGTTTTTTCAGCTCTTCCTCAGACAAAGGATTGCTATCTAGAGTATATGAAGAACTTTAAAAACTCAGACCCTCCCCCAAATATAAAGACCCAATTCAAAACTAGGGATCTGGAATGAACAGACATTTCTCAGACAAACAAGTAAAAGCCTCAAATAAACATGAAAAAACGTTCAACATCACTGGTCAAGAGATGCAGATGAAAACAACACTGAGATTCCACCTCACTCCAGAAAGAATGGCTGCTCTCAAGAAATCAAGCAATAATAAATGCTGGCGGGGCTGTGGAGAAAGAGGAACCCTTCTCCATTGCTGGTGGGAGTGCAGACTGGTGCACTGCTATGGAAATCAGTATGAAGATGCCTCAAAGAACTAGGATTGGAAGCCCCATTTCACCCAGCTATTCCCCTGCTGGGTATCCCAAAAGAATTAAAAGAATCACACCACAGCAATATATGTGCACCCATGTTTATAGTGGCACAGTTTGTAGTGGCTAAAACTTGGAAACAGTCCCATTGCCCATCCACTGGAGACTGGATAAAGATGTGGGTTTTTTTTTTTTTATGAAATGGAGTACTACTCAGCCATAAAGAATGAGAAACTAGAGACATTTATAGCTGAATGGATGCACACTGAGGCCATACTCAAGTGAAATAAAGAGAACACATGTGTAAATACCAAGTAATTTTTCTGGCATGAAAAACTAAAAGTAAGGATCAAAATGTGTAATTAATAATGTGAAATGAAAAGGTCTAAAGAAGTAGGGGAAGTGGAAAGGTAGGGGAAAGGAAAGAAGGGAAAAGAAAAAATATGAGAAAAGGAAAAAAATGGAAATAAAGTCTTTGTACATAGGGAGGGTGGAGGGGGTGAAGGGAGGGCAGGGGAATGGGGAAAAAATAAGAACCAAGATACATCGTGTAAAGAAAGGTACAAGAACCCAATGATGAATGTGACTGTACTATATACCTAAAATGTACCAATAAAATTAATGAAAAAAAGAGACAGCCCCTCTGTTCCTCAGTCTGGGAAAATCTCATCTTTTAGTTTCCAGTTCTCATTTCTGGGAAAGCTTTATGTCTAATTATTAAATTGCCCTTAACAAAACTTTCTGCAAGAGGGCCTTTCCTGAACTTGTATTCCCTTTTGTGAGAATGTAAAGTAACTCACTGAGACAACCAGGACCTGATCTGTAAAGCTGAAATGATGTTTCCACGATGTCTGATTCACTGTTGAGAGAGCTGACCCACTCAGGGCGTCCGTACCACGGAACGCTACTCAGCAGTAAGGGGTGACTGTCAGACTGGCCACACCGGGAAGGCGCCACCAAAACATTCGGCTGGGGAAAGGAGCCAAACTCAAAAGGCTCCCCAGTCTGTGATGACAGGGCAGAAACAGAGCAGTGGTTGCCAGGGACTAGAGGCCGAAGGAGGGAGGGGGGACGAAGAGACAGGAGGGGATGGCCACGGTGAAATGTTCTTTGTCGCACAGACGCTGGGTGAAAGGCAGCATAAACGTATGGAATGGTTCATTTTATGGTAATGTCACTTAGGCTCCTACGACCTGACCAAAAAGCGAAATATTTTTTAAAAATTCATTGAATCAAAGTGCTTTTCAGAGTTGAGGATAATTTACTGTCTCATATTGGTCCACTCTAATGTAAAGTATTTTGACCCTGGGAAAATTATTTATTCTGACTCCCAGGAACTTAAGTTGGCCATAAATAAATAGGAAAAATAAAGAATTACTTCACAGAAATTGAGCTTCTAAGTCCAAAATATCTAAATCATAGGTATTTTGTTAATGATAAAAGCATGAAGAATAAAATTTTAAAGATTAGCTCTGTAAAGATTGTTATTTGGTTTTTAATTTTTAGAGGTAGGTCTTTATACCGCAACACACACACACCCCACAATGTGATAGGTTTTCCTCCATTTTCAGTTTGACTATTCTCTTACGCTATAGGTCCCAGTGATAAATGAAGAAAAAATTTTGAAATAAAAGTGAATCCTTTAGGAACAAGAATCCTAAATATGCCAAATACAACTTCAAAGACATATCTTCACTTATGAAAACAATGTCCTATGAAGCCAAACTTTTAAAACTCACCCTTATTAATATTAAAACACTAGCACCTTGGGCCAGGGATTTAGCTCAGTGGCACCACACCTGCCTCACAAGTGCAAGGACCCAAGTTCAATCCCCAGTACCAAAATACCCAAACAAAACCTAGCACTTTGCGACATCCTAGGCATTTAATATATGTCACATGAACATGAATCTATACCAGTGGTATCTTAGAAATTAAATAGGCATGGCTCTTTTTAAGAATAACCCTAGGCATTTATCCAAAAGAGGCAAGGCCCAGTTTGCCCTTAAGAAAATACAATCTTAGCCAAGTGCAGGGAGGATGAGGTGGAAGGATTGAAGTTCAAGGCCAACCTGGGCAAAAGAAAGAAAATATCATTTTAATAATAAAGTGAATTTTTAGGGCATTGCTAGCAAGGAGATTATCATAAAACAATTAACTAATAAAGAGCAAGTAGATAACGAGCTGGTATTTGAGTGCTTCCTGCCAGCCAGTACTCCATGTGGCATTTCACACACTGCCACTTACGTTCTGCGGGTGGATAGTGCCCCCGGGTCTGTGTCCTAGATGAGGAAATGAAGGCAGCAAGGTAAAATGAGCTTGCCCAGGGTCTCCCTGCCAGCAAGCAGAGCCACCTGTCAGCTGGCTCTGGAGTCTGCCCCGCTGACCATTCCTCCACGCTGCCGAAGGGTCTGGCTGCGGGAAGAGGAGGTGACACAAACGGGACTTCCAGCCACCGTCGGTGGGAGCCAGCCCTGGCCTTACTTTATCCCTAGCTCTTTGGGCCTTCGGCCAGGGGCACCTGCTGTAGACCCGGGTTTCCTACAGAAACATCAGCCAGAACAAGGAGATACTGAATCCAGTGACCTTTCTCTTGTCCCCTCTAATCCAAACACTAGTTCTCTGAACCAGTAGGGGAGACAAATAGCCCTTCAAGATGAAGGCAGGCGACCTGTTTTGGAGAATAAGCATTTGCCATTCCTAGGGGCAGCCCAAAGGTGAACTGTACCAGGCCCTCAGAGTGGCCGGGGAAACCCCAAGAAAGAGTAGACCAAAAAAACAACATGCTACTCATCTAGGAGATCAAAACCCAAACCAAACACAGAAATTGAAGGAAAGAAAAATATATATTAAGAAGCCTGCCAAAACATAACATCTTAACAAAATTTCTTTCACTTCAGAATGAAGAATCACTCCAAAGGAGTCAGGATAACGGGGGAAGCCCTGTATTGGAGCGGCTTGGCAGAGAAGACCTCTCCCCCAGCAGGTAAGACACAGATCCACAGATGGGAGGGAATAGTGGTTTAAACCTCATCCCTTAGCTTCCCCAGGCGAAAGCCACGCGTTCGTGTGTTTGTGTAGTAGCCTTCACTATGCATTGTACCTGAATCTCACAAAAGCAACAAGCCAGAGAGCTGAAAAAGGTGCCTTATTACAAACCAGACTTGCAAGGATATGTTTTTTAAAATGGAAGCAGGGGAGAATATTGAGTGAAAAAGTAACATTGACTAAATTATTGGTTTAAACACTTTCTTAAAGTTTTAGTTCCCCCAAACACAAGTTACACAAATTCAAAGCTATTTTGGATCGACAGGAAGGTGTTTGCATACAGTGAAGGCTGAGGAGCTCAGAAAGCCTAAATTAGGAAGATAACAACCAAAAGCATAAGAGGAGATTCATCTTTTAAATGTCTGACCTCAGAATCCAAAGATCATAACCCCTCTTTAATGCCATCTGACTTGTGAACTAGTTTTATCCCCAGGGTCTTTTATGAGTGGCTCTCAATGGGCCTCCAAAACAATCCCTGAAGCACCAATGGACAAACATCTTTAAGATCTTGCCCTTGATTAAAGCCAGTTATTATTTTCGTTAGACCTTCTATTCATTCCCTTTAAGTTACACTCAAGGAAACAGATGTAGGCTCTTAGTCATTAAAATGTTCCCCTAAGTTACAGTGAATGGCTCCATTCAGCATTTCTGAAAGTGAGAAACTTGGTGGACTGATCTCTGAAAAGAACCACTTGGCAATGATGTGTTCTACAGATTTCTGTTACTAATATCCACACCCGAGTTTTATGATTATAAAAGCCTTAGTCAAATGTGTTTTTTAGGATAGTTGATGAGTGTGTTAATTTACATAAGACCACTAAATCACACTTCTAATGAAAACCACAAGGGAAAATTTACAGCATTTAACTAATGAAACAGAAATACCTTTATGAAAAAAAAATGCCTTTATGTTCTTGCGAAAGATAAAGGCAAAATTGGCCAGTCAACTTATTCAAAGATAAGAGAATCTGTAAGACTACTGCTTTACATTAAATACTTCAAGGTCACCCATTTATAGCCAGGCCTGGTGGCACACGCCTGTAATCCCAGCACTCGGGAGGCTGAGGCAGGAGGATCGCTATGAGTTCGAGACCAGCCTGGGCTACATAGTGAGTTCAAAGCCAGCCCCTGAACTACATAGCGAGACCCCATCT